AAGCGTTTCTGTAATATGTTTGACGTAATTGTCATAGGTTCGTTACCTTAATTATAAAATTTTAATCATCACTCACCGACCGATGCGCAACAGCGAAGTTATTCTGCAACGTCGCTACGATGATTCTGTAACAAACAAATATAAAATCCAAATTAAAGCAGGGCATAAAAGAGAGAGAGACAGTCAATATTTCAAAAAAATAATCAGTGAACACTAAATTATATATTACTGTTTGTTAGGCAAATTTAATAAAATAATTATGTAATTTTTTAGAGTAATCAGTCCATTGGACATAAGCTTAATTCTATGGAATTTCTAAAATAAAACTCTTTTTCTTTCTCTAACTTTTATTTTCTGAATATCTGGTAGAAAAGTAAATGACTCATCCGAATAAGATATAATAATGATATATGTATATCAATTATATTTACCGCATGTTGCTCCGCCGGCGCCTGATGCCTCTTCTAGGCCTCCACCTCCTCTCAGGCTGCTTGAACTTGCAGGTTCGTATATATAGTGTTTCCTCAATGCGATGAAGCTTCTTCCCGCGTGGATATTTTCTGAAACATATAAATAATCGAGTCGATTAAATAACTGTTACGCGGATCGAACATCTTATTCATTATTCAATTTAATATTTATTTAAATTACTATTGCGAAAAAGTTCTTTATCAGAATGAACTTTATAAAACTTTCAAATTAGTTATTCTACTTCCAATCTAGTTATACTAATTTAATTTCCGAATCATGGTGTAATAAAACAACTGGAAGAATAAACAAAAAACGGGATTATCTTTAGAAAAAATAAATAATATTTACCAAAAAGTTGTTACGCCGATGCCCGATGCCTCTTCTATATAGGCCTCCTCTTCCTCTCAGGCTGCTCGGTCTGTCAACTTATTCGCGTAGGATTCTCTCGCTGCTTCGACTTTCAGCGTCGTTATTTTCTGAAACATTCAACGGAACGATTCAATTAAAAATGACAGAATAGGAAAAATTTTTGTACATAACATAGTAGAACGTAAATCAATTACACTCACCACTTTCTCTCAGGCTGTTCTCGTTGCAAATTCCGTAAGACTCTCCTCCGGCAGTCCGGCATTCGTATATAAGAATGCGGTTTCCACAGATCGTAGATCTGGTGCCACATAAGAGCCATGGAGCGACTCGTGGCAATGCTGTGTTGAAATCGCCGAGCACTTTGCACGACACCCTCGACGTTGACCGTTCGCGAGACTCTCCTGTATTTCAAATAAACGATTGATTGAGATCAAATCGGATCGTGCGAAAATTCGCAATGCTATCGAAGATCCGGCATTCCCGTCGCGTACGTCGCTTCGATTTCCGCGAATGAATAGATTGCGCGAAATATCTAATTTATATTTGACCAAGTATTCATCACCCGATATTCGATATACCCGCGCGAATTATTGACCATAAGAGTTAATTAATTGTGCGGGAAGTAATTGCGTATTGTACGTACGCGAAGAGCGGTCGAGAGATATTTAATGCTACGACGTACACGGAACAATTCGGCGCTGCCTCTATATGTATATATATAATAGCTACCTGCCGAATTTAATTGTTCTCGCACGGTGGCCTGCGTAAACAAGGTGCGCCGCGTACAAAAAACAACCCTGAGGCTGCGTCAGTCCCGATATCGTTTCCCGAAATATTTCAACACTTTCTAGCACAGATTTAACGTGCACATTCGAAAGAATCGCGACACCGCGATTGTCCCGATTCGTTCTGGTGTTCACCGCGCGTTACGCGAATGGCGACGAAGTCCTTGGAAGATACCGACTTCTTGACGCGCGATACTACGCGAGTCAAGCGGACACGCATTAATTATTAACACTTTGCACGAAGAATTGTGATTGCCGGCCGTTAACTTACGCGACGCGTAATATACACGGGCGACGTATCACGGCGTTCCGTCACTTACCAATATACGACATTCGACAATATCACTCGACCTTCTCCCTTCGGAGAGAATCGGAAATAAATCATACAATTCCGACACGACGTTTAAAGCGCGACGCGAGATGAATTCTTCATTCGAGTCCAGACATGAACAGAACTATTAAGTAGCACCCGCGAATATCGCAGCAAAATTGCACATTACTCACCACAATTGCCGTACCTCCGTCGCCTCCGTCTCGAGCGAGCAACTTGCACGACACATCTTTCCGACGAACGCACTTGCAGCTTGCAGATTCTTGAGTGCGTATTCCCGCGGAACGAGGAGCAGGAGTGCCAATTGCAGGAACGAGCGCGTTCGACGGAAAAACAGCACCGGAGCAGGCGGAGCATGGCGATGGGCGCGCGGAGTACGAACTCTTCATATCTGTGTGAAATTTATTGGGTGAATAAATAGCCGATTCTCGTAAGCAACGATACGCCGAACGTTGACGAAAACAGGTAGCAAAGTCGCTCGCCGATAAAAACAATCGACCGCGCACCGATTTTGAAGAGCACGTCGTTTCGAAATAACTCGTTCAACGGTCGCGTCTAGTACGCCGCAAGGCCGCAATGCCGCTTCACCGCACCGCCGTGCGCCGAGCCGTCCCGCGGCCGCTCGCTGGTGGCTCGAACGTGATTGGCCGGATCCGAGGGCTCGACTCGCTAGGAGCCAATCGCGTTCAACGGCTTCCCCGACAGTGCGGCGACGCGACGCCGGCAAGTAATACGCGACTCATTTCACGTACGGTACGGTGCGACTGGTGCGAGGCGTTGTCGATCGTGTAATTTCTCTTTCTCGTAAACGAAAAGAAATGTGGATGTAGAATGTTGCAAGCTGAACGTACGCTGAATACTCCGTTTCTTCTTGTGTCGACTGCAACGAGTGGGATACCATTGCTGGACGAAATGAACGCCGAATGCCGTGCTGGACGTGTCGTGCGTGCAGTCACCCTCCCGTGTGATTTGGCGGATCTTCTGCGGTGCTCCGGGCCGTGATCGGTGAGTGAATTATGCATGAGAAACGAATGATTAGAAGCGAGATACATTTGAATCTTAATATAGAATTTCCGCGTTGTCCCGCGTGTCGCAGTGAGACGATATAACCTCCGAATTCGCGTCTCCTGCCTCCGAGCTCCGTTTCGATTCCGACTTCGAATGAGTGAATCGCGCGAGAAAATTTCAGTGAATATCTTGTTCAGTGAACCTCTCGTCTCGTTAAGCGCGGGCTAAATAATTGATAATTAATTGAGTGATTGAAGAGGACGATCGCATGCGTTTGGTGTTCTCTGCACTTCGCTTGTCGCGAACGAGGGAGCGATTATCGAGCTTGCTCCGATAAGTGTATGAACATCGAAAGTGCGAACAAACTCAAATCAATTAATGTTTGTCCATGAATACATTTCTTCTGTCATTAAAAAACGGGCACGTAAAATTTGCTCGTTCGCTCGTAATTCGTCGCAAATGTTTCAAATTTATTCGGTACGTGTGCTTCTTTATTTATCAACCTCTACTTTACAGAAAATTACTGTTAAATTGTATTATATTTGTAAAAGTTTTTTCGCGATTGTTCCCATAGCGCGGTATAAAAACGATGAATCGTCGCCGCCAAGATATTTAAAAATTGTAAAATATATCCTCTGTTGCTTGTTTTTCCCAAATATATATTATTTGTTTTGCTTATAAAATTTTTTTATAAACGAGCTTATTGCCGCGAATTTCGCGTTCGTGTCTTGTAGATTTATTAGCAAAAAAGAAAAGAAAATAACGTTAATTCGATCGAGAGCGCTTTGAAATAGAAATATTTGTGAAAGTTTTTTATATTATATAATTTTTTATATAAGAAACGAAATAAATAAAGAATATTTAATATATTTTATTGCCGCACTTTCAGGTTTCTCTTTGGTGCTATCTTATCAGTGACTGTCCTTTAATTCGAAAGTGTATAATCTCAGGGATCGATTGTGTATCTTGAAACAAAGTGAAAATTACAAAAGTGAACAGGTATTCTTGATTTCGACAAATAAAATCGTAGATACTCTCTTATAAATTTACTCATTTTTGTTAATTTTGCCTCGTTTCAAGATACACAATCGACTCCCTAGCAGTGTCCCTAGTGGGCCTAGTGTATTTTGATGTATCGATATATCGATGCTACCTATATCGATTGCGTACCTAGTAAGTGCAGTGCTCGATTATCGATGCGCGTAGCGATAGCAAACAATTTCAAAGTAGCAGCGTAGTGTTTGGTACGTTTAGGTTAGAATAGCTGTTTTCACAATTAAAAGTATTTCACGCTGGTAGGACGATGTCGCGCGATCGCCACGAGACATTCGGACATTACACGCTGGCCGATGATCGAACGTAACTTCACCGGACGAAGTTACCCGTTGCACGTGCGGACGGACTGTCATGGAGTGACGGACTCTCGAAGAGCATTTTTCGTGACCCCCTCGACCAAAACGATTCCGATTAAGGTTAAATCATTGGTGATCGCCTGTTTCAACGGTGCACGTGGATCAACCGAGAGAAATGACCTCGAACGAAGCAGGCGCATCGCTCGGCGTCGCCCGGGAAGACGTCAACTGGCGGAAGGATATAATTTCGCAGTTACGCGAGAGGAATAGATCGCAAACCAATTGTTTCGCAGATCTCATTAGCCTACGTAAGTTTCTCGCGGCTTCATTATTAAGTTAAGTCAATTGGACACAAGTATCAATACAGGATACATCTTATTTTGAACACAGAATTGTTCCTACGAAGCTGTTGTGTGCCATATGTCTTACTTGATCAGCTTTCACCTACAGCTCATTATCATCTGATCATATGTCTTATTTGCTTGTTTTCTTTCTTATTTGTTTCATCTTTTATAAAAAGTATCCATTAGCTTATTAGTTTAGCGCTTCTGTTTATCGGTTCTGTCAGCTGAGAGCCGTTTACTTCAGTTTCATTATTGTATAAATTAATTTGATAATATTTCTATTATATTTTGCAGATAATAGGTTATTTGAAAATGCAAATACATTGCGAAATACAAATATGCAATTGACAATTGCAAATGAAACTCTCCGTCGCGAAGTGGCTAATGGTAGTATTGGCATGGGTGGCAATCCCGATCTTGAAGCTAGACTATTGAAGCAAGCGGAGGAATTAGCAATGCTACATAAGAGGAAAGGAGAACATACGCAACAAATAGTAGATCTTAATAACAAATTGCAGGAAATGACAAAAGAACTTCAAGCAAAGGAAGCTAGGTAATTTATGATATTTATCTATATATCTGTACTTAAAGAAGGAGGATCGTATATCTATTTCTGAACATTTCGAGAAACAGTTTAAAGTTTTAATTAGAGAAATGACATTTTTGTAGATATATGTAAAATAAAAGTAGCTTGATTTATTAAGTTTTTAGTGAAGTACCGACATGTTTAATAATGTAACTGCTAATGATACGCTGTACCTAATTTAAAAATTAGGTACTATAAAAATTTTTAATGACTTTTTTTATATATTGTATCTTAGGAACTAGTAATAATGAACATAAGATGCTTTACCATTATACAATTTAAGTTTCTGTTATATTGAAAAGTGTATTAATTCCATTTTGACAAAAACTAGAGATACGATCTTTTATCTCTAAGGTACATATATATTTATATATATAATTTGTTAGTTTATAAATTAATAAACTTTATAAATTTATACCATTTTCTCTAATTGATCCGTTTGTTTTTTCCAGCCTTGCAGAAAGTTCAGAAGCTAATACTAATTTACGTTTAGAAATAACTAAATGCCTTGGTAGAGAGAAAGAATTAGAAGGGATTAATCAGATGCTCAAGGATGAACACCAAGCCTTACAACTTGCTTTTGCATCTTTAGAAGAAAAGCTTAGAAAAACACAAGTATGTCATGAAATTTTGGTTTTTATTTTCTTCTAAAAATTTATATGCGCATATAATTTTGTTGTATATTGTTAAAAGAAATTGGACAACTTGTAGATACTTATTTACTTATATCACTTATTTGCTATTTAATATTTATTTCAACTTTGTAAATTTATAGGAAGAAAATCGACAGCTGATTGAACGCTTAATAAAATATAAAGCTAGAGATGCTGAAAAGATGAATGAAGAAAATGATAACTTTTTAAGGTAAGTGTGTATATGAAGCAATAATGTGTATTGTGAGTTTAGAAAGAGAACAAAAATTATCCGTATTGCCTTTTTTTATTATTAATAATGTAATTAATTTGCGAAAAGTATAAAGTAATGAATTCTGATTTGCAACATTAAAATCTATAAGATATTGCGCGAGTATTTTTGTAGTTATAGAATTGTTCTTATAAATGCAAGAGCAAAGTAGCATTGATTTCCGCTATTATATTATTCTAATTAAACACATGTTTTTTTTCTTGGCTATCTTTGTATGCAACATGAAAAATATGTATAGTCTTGCATGCTAATTATGATTTTCCGTTAATTTATAATCTCGTACGTGTAGTATAGTAAATGTATTTCTGCTTAGTTACAGCTTTTAAAGATTAACCTATTTTTCTGCACTTTAGTTGATTTAGTTCTTATGCATTTGTATGTAGATGTTATGTATTGTAGTATAGTTTTGCGTAAAGGGGTGTTTTAGTTTACTTGCAACATAATCTTCTGTCTAAAATCTTTATCTTTCTTTGACACTACTTTTCTGTAGAATCTCTACTTTTTTTTACTAAGTGAATGTTATTATATTACTTCTGAGAGTACATACAATCTTGTTCAGTTTTAAAATATTACCTATTCTTTAACTTATTTCAGTTTAACCTTTTATGTATACAATATGTGTACGATAAATCTTTTCAAGTTTGTTCTTAAATAATTCATATTGTTATTAATTGAAGCAGCTAAAATGCATGTTACAGAATTTCAATTTTAAATCTATGAATTATATGTTTATTATTATTGTGATACGTATTCCATATTGTATAGTAAATTTTTAATCAATTAAAAAATTAATTTATATTTCTATAATATAGACCATAGTAAAATTCAGCAAAATTTTGAGTATTGAATTATATATTAATAATAGATTTCACATTAATAGAGTTTTTACAAGCCCATAAGCTATAGATACTATATCTAATTTGAGCTTTACAGAGTATACACAATATTCAGTCACTCTAGGGCTTTATACACAAGCACTTCACACGGCTTGACATTTTCGTTTCAGTTTTACGAGTCCAACAGCCTTTTTGATGCATACCTTGTCAAAATTTGGGTAAGTTTGACGAAATGTAGTGAACGCTTAATGCTAGCTTTGGGATGGTAATTTAACGAGGCTACAGACTATGCTGCATTTTATATCTCATGATTTATATACTACATTTGCTGGTGGCGTTTATTCTATGTAGCGTGTATATAATATATTTATAATATATAATATATTTTATATATTATTTAAAAAAATAAAAATTGTACAAATTTACTGAAATAAATTATTGAACAATTAAATTACTAAGTAATATAAATTTTTGTCTTTAATTCTTCGTATATCAAAATGAAAGATAAAAAGGATATAATATGAATTACTGTATTATACCTATATATAATCATAGAAAACAAACTTGAAAAGATAATCAAATTTATAATTTTTAGATTTACATTATTTTCTATAATATTTTTATAGAAATATTGAGATTTTCTTAATATTAGAGCAAAAATGAACAGTCTAGGTACATAACAGTATTATACTTTATAATTTATATTATTTAATAGATGTGCAAGAAAAATAAATATATATTCAAAAAATAAAATGCATATTTGTAAAATATTTAATTGGAAATTAATAAAAATTTGCATTATAAAATGATATATTCATTCAAATAATGGATTACATAATATAATCTTTTTACATTAAGGCAATAGTGTGAAAGAGATTGCAGAATGTATCAACGTTGTTATATATATGCTTTAAGTTGCTTTGCAACTTTGTTGAATGCTAATGATATCGCATATACTTAATGTATATGTTCCTCATTACTTTATAGGAAGAGACAAGCAAAGATGCAAAAGGAATTGGAAGATGCAGCACGAGATACGCGACCTGTTAGTCCTGATCGTTTAAGCTTAAAAGAAGTTGCCGGTCTTCCGACAGCAGTGCCAACGAAAGTATCCGTAACGTTTGTACGTTGAATCTAAAATATATCATATTGTGCTATCATCATGAAAGCATTAACACCAATCCGTATCTGACATTCCTAATGACATTAAAACACGGGACTGCATGCTTTGTGTATGTATACGAATGGATTTATATTAAATATACAGGGTATATTCAATATAAATTTTACATTTATGAATTATAAGATATTATTTAATTTAATTTTTAACATACGTCTTAATTTTTATTTTAAACAAAATTATAACTTAATTTTAATTCAACGATTAGACAAACACTTCTTTCTAGATTTATTTTGATACTCGACGCTTCCTAAATATTGGATTATTTGTTTCTTTTTTACAGCCAATTACACCGTAAAGAGTGGTGTAGGTTACATGCTGTGGTTGTGACGTTTCTGTTACATGAAAGGCTGTGTATTGTATATGCTTTGCAATGTACAATTCGACATATCAATGTCTTTTTAACCACGGTCTTAAGACCATGTATTTAACTAATTTATTTAACTTTATATTTAATTAAATTAGAAAATAACTAGTTTCTTTTTTCAACTCCAGAGGAATGACATTTTTGTGTAGAATTTCAAAAATATGAATCTGAAGCTTGGATCTACCGATCGAAAAATAAATTATTAGTTTATTTAGTTATTACTGAGGCTGAATCAGATTAAAATAGGATTACTTGATTTTATCTGTACAGTTATATTAACTTATAATAATAAAGGATTAAGTACATATATTAAAAACGTGACTTTTCTGTTTATCTATCGTTATGAAATGTATTTTTTATATGATAGTGTACGTTATCACAACACATACACACATCACTACACATATATAAGATATAATATTATAGCATTGGTTAAGTTTCTCTAAAATTTTAGATACGTTTACGCAATGCACAATACAGTATTGTTCGTAGAATGTAGTGTGTATGTGATTGAAGATGCATAATGTTATAACTTTTATCAAGATTCGATTAAGTACAAGTATTTTTAAAATATTACAAGATGCTTTTATTAAGACAATCGATAATCTCCAGATCCTGAGCCCCATTCTTTCCATCTCCCTATTCTTAATCAATTATCAGCCTCCGTAAACATGGTTTATCATCATTTTCTTTTTTATTTATTAATGTATCTATTTTTAAAGCGTTTTATTTGTACAATTATATATGAATCTTCGTATTCTTAGAATATGTTACACATATTGCGATTTTTATTTCTTTAGATCATATATTCTGACTATGTATGCAGAATGATATGCAGAAGTAATCACTGCTTAAACTAGTAAATTCGAAAAATAGGAGAAACATTAAATAATATATAAATTATTGAAGTATATTTCGCTGCAAGCTTTATTACAAGACAGTTTAAACTTACAAAGTTTGAACAAGAAGTTCTGTCATCTCCTCTGTCTTTATTTTATTTATTATATATCCAAGATGTCTTATAATGACAATGTTTAAAGTTGCCTAATTAAAAAAAATTTACATTTAATAAGTATTGAATTTCCTTTTATATTCAAAAAATATCTGTTTTAAATTTTTTAATTTTAGCATGTAAGGTTGCATTTAATTTCACGGTTTATAGTAGATATTCTTAATTTAATAATCAGGTATTTCATGTTTTAATTATTCGCTAGTGAAATCGCTTGTGTGTAAAAGTATAAAAACAAGATATTAAAAATAATATAATTTATGGACATTGGTTTTTAATTTGTCTTGTGATATTGTCGTGCACTGTGCGATCGAATATATGTTAACATAACATTTATGCAATAGATTGAATGCATGAAAGATGTCTAGCAATCTCATACATCAAGTGCTTATAAACCTTACAGAGTGCCCATGAGGGAGAAGTATACGCTGTTAAATGGTCGCCTACTGATAGAATATTGGCTACTGGTGGTGCTGACAGGAAGGTGAAGCTTTGGAACATTACTAAAGGTAACTAATAAAATGAATAATAATCTATATTTTTAATTATATTATTTAAAAATTAAATTTATTAATTTTGTTTTTAAGAAAGTTCAAAATATAATTTAAAATTTAGTTGAAAATTAAATTAGAATTGTTCTACAGAGATCTTGAAGAGACCTTTACACATTGTTTATTATATTTAATAATTAAATGAAAAATGATTCAATACTAAAGGGACAAATGATTATATTATTTATAAAATTTTAAGATTAGATCATTTATTATCGCGTTTTTTCAGTATTGAATATTTCAAATTTGGGATATGTAAAGAATAAAATTTTATCTACACTTGTAAAAGTTTAATAATGAATACGAATTGAAGATTGAGAATTTGACCAATCAGGTAATTCTGATCTTAATACGTTCTGTTTCGATTGGTCGAATTCTAATCTCTGATTTACAATCCGCGGTATCGAACACGTAATCTGGTACAGGCTTTAGGAACGTTCGTATATATAGAAGGTTGATAACCGTTGCCGCGAATACGGCCGATCGCCGTGGCGAGGAGGACGTAAATCGCGATTCAAAGTGTTAAAGCGGGGAAAAGAACGCGATTAGTCGAAGCATTCACGCGGGTAAACGACATCCAGAGCCGCGTAACAATCGCCAAGTATCGCGTGCGAGCGGCGGGATGACGTTCCGCCAAGAGTTTATCTCTCGTCGTTCTATTATTCAAATTCCCACCGGCGTGGCGCGCGGCCGCGTTTGGTTAAACATGGCGGGTGTCGTCTTTCGCGAGTTCCGCGCGCGTTTGGACGATGCGGCCTTCGCGAGGTGTTTTCGTGGATTTTCTCATACCCGCATCTGCGATTATTAAGTCCCGTTGCCTCTCTTCCATGCGGTCGACGCTGTCGTTAAAAAACGAATGATCCTGCCGAATTGAACAACCTACGAAGGACGCGAATTCGCGAGAATGCGGCGCGCCGCGCTGCCGCGACGTCCACCTTGTATCAGGTATAATAGCGCAATTACGCAATTTACGATCTAATTACAGTTTATGTGCGTAAAACTGATAGCGTTTAGCGAGTAGGATGATGTCAGAACCTTGCGCTATAAAGAGAGAAAGAGAGCGGAAGGGAGAGACAATATAAGAAGCAAGAAAGACGGAGGGGGGGAGGGGAGAGTACTAATAGAGATCTCCATTATACGATCAGCAAAATAACTTAGGCTCGCTTGACGATGCGAACTCGTCGCAGGATAGTTTTGTCGTCCGTTAACATCCGGTATGTAATACATCCATTAAGGTTTTGTTTGAATTAAGGTTCTTGCCTGTAAACCCGTGACGACGAATATCCTGGAGGACTGATGATACGTAATTTAATTCTCGTAATCTTCTTTTCTCCGGTAGATTTATATGATACATTTCGATGGACATAAGCGTTAATATACATATTATATTTATTTCTTGCTTGTAGGTAGAAAGAAGATTTTTTTGTTTTTTGGTTTTCTCTTGATGCGTCCTGTTCGGAATCCGACTTTTCCAACGCGGCGTCTCCGTTTCACGCGAACGACCGCGATATCACTTTTTCTCAAGAGATTCCCCGCGATCCACTTAATGAAGTATATTAACGAATCAACAGGTTACTTTGCGCGTCGTTATAGTTCACCCTGCTTGCGACGCATACTAAAAGCTGGCCTGCCCGCCGCTTCGAAATCGTTTCCCCGTACCGTAACGAAGCGCGCGATCATATATGGTATAACGCTCTCAATTGTAATCCTCCTCCTCCCCCTCTTCTCTTACAAATTAGATGAAACGTTCGTCCTTATTGTACGGGTTATATCCGCTTAGCACGAGGTCTGTTATACTCTCGATCTACACGCATTCTCCATTTCTCGGCTTTGTTCTACGCGCTTCTTCATTGCTCTCATCTGCTTCTGTCTCTACATTCTCTCTTTCTCTTTCTCTGCCTGCTTTGAGGTGCTTATAACTTGCTCCCTTCGGATTGCAGCGCGGCTTGCTCGCTGCCAATTAAGCCGTCAGGGCATAAATTTAATTAGTCATATTCAGAGAATAATGTGTGGTATAGGCGAAGGGGAGAAAGAGAGGCAGGTACACAGAGAGAGAGAGTGAAACGGCCGTGCAACGGGGAGCGAAGTAATTGATGTGGACACGTAAACCCGAAGAATTAAACTCAAACATCGTTACGTAATGATATGATAACGTGACCGCGAACATTCTGTTGCAGGTACGTCGGAAAGTAAGGGCATCCTCGTTGGCAGCAACGCCGGTGTGATGTCGGTGGACTTCGATTCGACAGGCACCCTTATTCTTGGAGCATCCAACGATTATGCGAGCCGCGTCTGGACCGTCAGTGATCTTCGCTTAAAGGTAAGTTTTTACATCCATTGTCCAATCTATTGTGTGCCTTTAACGCACACCTCCGAAAACTTAAAGAGCCGTTAAAGAATGGCCAAAAGGATATCGAAAGGATATCGATTTGTAGGAGATGTAACATATTTTAGGATTTTGTATCTCCTTCGTGTTTTTTTCTGCGTGAATGTATAACGTTTGAATAACATCGTGATACAGAGTTATGATGTTCAATTGAACTGCAGGACTTTGTTTCGATATTATATAACGATTATTCGAATTATATTACAGAACTGAAGAGTTCTGTTATATAATTGCCGTATATACACTCTGTCTAATAATTAAGAAATAAAAAAAATTGTCTAAAAAGTAAGCAAATTTTAACCTGTAACTTTGTTTTAAAAAATGAGAATTTAAATCTAAAACAAAGAGTTTTGAAGCTTGAAATCTCTACTTTTAAAATGTTACAGCTGTTTTTTACTTTTTTCGATTATGGAATTATGGAATCATTTTAGCGTACAGAAAACGACGAGCTCGACGAAATGGCAAATTTTTTATTACTTTGTGGGCGTATCACGAGCATAAGGACTTGAAAATTTTTTTGATTTTTTTAAAGCTTGAAATTTTCTTTACTAAACCCTTTTTTAGATTCTTATTTCAATTTTTTCACTAATTGTAAGTTGTCGAGAATAGAAGAAAAACTAGGTATTTTGACTTTGCTCGTTCATAACTTCGTTAAAAATTGTACAGCAATTCCAAGAATGGATTCTTAGTCTTTATCTTTGCTTTATAGTACAATGTAATGATCGATTGTAAAAAAAAAAAATGATTGAGTTTAAAAAAAAATTAGACATTATACCGTACTATAGAATAAAGATTCGGCTTTAAGAATTTATTCTTAGAATTGCTATACAATGTTTTTCAACGGAGTTATGAACGATTAAAGTTAAAATGTTAATTTTTTCTTCAATTCTTGACAACTCAATAAGAAAAAATTGAAATTAAAATCTAAAAAAGGGTTTTGTAGGGAAAATTTCATGCCCGTTCTAGACTGGAGGATGATCCTACTCTCGGCTCATCCTCCTTTCTATAGTGTACGTGACATAAACTATACATAAACTATAGATTTTTACCCGTCTACACTACTACTCGGATGAGCCGAGAGTATAGGATCATCCTTCAGTCTAGAACGGGCATCAGACTGTAACATGAAAAAGTTACAAAATTTTTTCAGGTTCTCTTTGTTCATGTGGTACACCCATCAAGTGACAAGAAAACTTCTCATTTTGTCGAGCTCGTCGTTTTTTGTATGTTAAAAAAAATTGCCATAATTGAAGAAAGTAAAAAAACAGCTGTGACTTTTTAAAAGTAGAGATTTCAAGATTAAAAATTTTTTTTTATATTTGAATTCCCGGAGTTTAAAATAAAATGACAGCTATTAAAAAATTGCTTCCTTTTTAGACAATTTTTCTTGATGCCTTAATTATTTGGAGGGGCGTATAGAATTTTATGTAATGAATAAAAAGCGACGAAAAGAAGAAAAAGGAACCAATGCTATAAAAATTTATTGCAGGCTAACAGCGAAATTGACTTCTGCATTTCTATCAGAATATTTGCAGAATACTTTTAGTTAGAAATTTGTAAAAAATTTTACACGACGCGAAAAAATTCAAATTTAAAATACAACGTGCATGTTTGCCATATTTAAATTTTTATCACTAAAAGAGATGTCGTATTTTTAATATTTGCTGGGTGTGTCGAAATGCGATAAGTGACATAAAGGCAGGAATCGATTATTAAGAATAAAATGAGAGTTTTTAATAAATATATTGTTCTTCTATTTTTCGCGCAAAATACATCGTTTTTCGTCATATCTAGGTTAATATTGATAACTGTTTTCAAGGCTTCAAATTCCTGACTTTCGATTACCACTCAAATCCATTGTTGCTCGTTCGTAATTATACCACGGTTTTATGAATACTCGCGAAAAGCCGAATGTATTACAGAATTAGCGGCTCCATCCCCTTTTCACAAAGAGATGGGGACGCTCTGCGTCCGATATTCGAACGAAATATTGAAATTTTATCTGGCAGCGTTGAGTTTGCATTTTTTTTTTCTCCGCAAATTTTAAATCCGCAGATTACAGACGTAGAAATTATGGGAAAAGTCGTAAATAAAACGATGTTGACGACAAAGAGACTATCTGAAATATGTTCCTTTCTTATTTTTTTCACAAATGCTATATATTATTGATTTTTAAATTGTTTTTATCAGATTATCGACAAGTTCGATAGAAATATATGGTAATTACGCGGTATATTTTATATTTTATTAACAAGTTAGATAGAAATATGTGGTAATTATGGAATATTTATATTCATTGTAAATTACTATAAACTGATGGTGTTCTAAAAAAGAACTTGTGTGGGTCGATTTTTTTTTATTTATTTATTTATTTATTTATTTATTTTATTTTATTTACCGTACAAAATAATTTTACATGTATTTTTTTAAATTAAGTAATTTTGTTGAAAATAATTCTGAAAATATTGAAAACAGTACCGGAACGTATTTTTGATATTTATTTGCAATAATTTGCTCTTTTAATCAACCGGGTGTTAGACCGTAGACCGTACCTATGACTATAGTCAATCAAGCTTTCATACTATATTGCGCGAAGTACAAAAAGAAGTTACATTAAGATGGAACAAATGGCCTAACAACTGCAGTAATGAGACGCGCTCGTCTCTCGTCTCTCGTGAAAACCTGATTGGCCGTATGGACGTGTCCCAGGAAGTGCATAAAGGGATGTCTCGCAAAACATGCATTAAATTACAGGTCTGTTCCGTTGGCGAGACAGCCCGTGAATCTATCCGGCAGTAGAATATGAAATTTATCGTCACCTTCTTCCCTCGCGATCTATTACCGTGCGGCTCATGTAAATCCGCGACGTTGGCGCGATCGTAAAGCTAATGACAATTCACAAAAAGTCAGTCGGAACCGAATTGCTTCGTGAACTTTACTGCAGATCGTTACTTCTGTTCATACGGTTCATACATAATATTAGATCTATATATATTTCGAAAGGCGATCCCTTTCCCATCTTTTTGACCCCGCTGTCTAAATTTCGCTCGTTCTCGTACGCTTCTCTCATTATCACTTCCGCACCCTATCTGCTATTTTGGAAATATGTTATTGAAAAATTGTGACGCGAGAGAGTAAATGGTTGTTCATTCCCAGGAGCGTCCAGGAATGTTCGATGTTCGTGAATATTGAATTCCTAGTTTTTAGCAGTGTTCTCAATAATATGAGATAATCAATAATAATTTTTGTAATTTTTAAGCAATTTTCGTGGTGTATTTGTACACAGATTATTTGAAATTATATTTTTGTTTATTATTCTTCACGCCGCGGTGCATTCTCATTTCGATTCTCACGCTGCGATTCAAATAATAGATTAACTATTAGATTAAAATAATTTTTAAACTCAAGGATTAGATGGATGACTATACATTTATAAATCGATTCTTACTTACGTAATATCCGTCAATCTTTTATTAATTTCTCTTTGAGAATACGTTCATCAATTACTTCAATCAATTATATGTGATCAATAAATGGTATAAATGTTTTTTTTTTTTTTTTAATAATTTTATAATATTCCGAGATTTTAACAGTTAGAAATGGCCAGTTTAAAGTTTCTCCACAATCTGATGCGAAAAACAGTAAGCTATAGAAGCTTTAGCTAGACGATGCGTGTCAAATGTGACGATCGAAGTTTAGCATACGACAGTAAATGCTTGATCACTACTAATGTACGCTATTTCCTTTGATCTGCGTCCGAAGCCGGGCTCTCTCGTATGTAAGAACTTAAGTACATGGGTTTGTCGATATAGTCGGCGGCATATACACTCCTTCATACACGCGCGCGCGATCGTGTATGGAGGAGTAATCAGGGATGATCGATCGCGATGAAACTTTGAGTCCCACGCCGTACGTATGTCCCGACCTGCGCACCTCGTTACTTTGATAGGATTGTCAGAGTGTCGTACTGATGTAACATGATTAAACGCTGGGAGCAACCGGCGATGATTGTCGGTGAAGTCGACGGGAATCGACGGACGGGGGAGAAGCTTCTGCTTCTCGCAACTACAGACCTCGCGACTCCTCCATCAGATGAAACTCAACGGTACTTTGATTTGTGCCGTGTATATGACCGAATCAGCTGGCTTGGTTTTATCGCATCAGGTATTGCTCTTACAAACGATTCGTAGAAGTCATATCGACGTCTAATCGATTCGCCGCGGTGCGTTTGCAGAGACACATAAGTGTAACTGATCGTCGCGAGCGAACGCGAATTAATATAATGCCGTGCGAGAATCTCGAGTCTCCGCCGTTTCCTCGTCGCGGTTTCGACATCCGAGATAATTTCTCTCCTCGGTGCAATTACACCGCGCATTCACGTTAGATCACGTGACAAGATTCGGCGAAGACGCTCGCTGTGGTTCGCGAGGAAGCATGGAGCGAGATTGGGCTGATAGTCTGTGCTCCGTACCAGCCACGCAATCCCATTACATCCTCGACGCGTCCCCCATCGTTCCCCGACGTCTCGTTGTACAAGTTGCCGCGCGCGCGCGTTCAGCCTTCAGCAGTAATATCGCCGTTTACAGGCGCTGCGGTTTATCGGCGGAATACAATATGTAATGTATTCGCGCGCGAGCATACGTGAACCGGCGTATCGCTCGCGTATCGTCGAGTGTGCTAGACGTGATTATTCGTCGCGTCGAGAAATCGTATAGCTGCCGCCGTTTCGCGCGCGCGATCCCGCGTGCGTTGTTCCGTCCAATCGACCGGATCCTTCTCTCACCGCTCTCGCGTTCCCCTGCGCGCCACGTTCTTGCTCGCTTTTTCGCGCGCCGTTCGTGAAACAGCCTCGCCGGGAGTCTACTGAACGGCGGCAGTTTCATTCCGAAGATTGGTGGCCAATGGCGCGTAAACTCACGCGGGAAACAACACGCGGTCGCCGAGGGATTCGAGACTATAACCAGTCTGTAGGTTATTCAGGCTGAGAGGTGCGAGAGCCCAACCAATTTGATGTTTATTCTCAAGTGCTTCGTTTCGAGAGAACGCAACAACATCTGTCGATCTTAACGAAATGCGGTTTCCCCCCCCGCGGGTCTCCGCCGTTGCGGTATCCGCGACTTGCGTCCACGGGGATCATCCAATGTATCTTTTTACGGATAGGTATATTAATCCTGCGTTTCACACGATATAAAACCCGCGGAAGATTGTTATCG